ATCAATATAAAAGTCATTGAAACTATGATGTTCAGAGAGAATCACCACAGCACCAAGGTGCAGACAGAGCTGGAGATGGGGACAGGGTGTGTCCTTAGGCCTGGCTTTGTTTCTGAGAATCTAGAGAAGTACACACTGGAGAATTCCCAGGTACTACAAACATAGTCTACTTGAGAAGATGACTTTGAATCTTTGGAATGAAGACAATGTTTTTCGACTAACAAGGCAGTTCTGTGTCTTTTTCCTGTGGGATTCAGGGGCCCCTCTTCTGTGATGCTCTTGCCTGCCACTGTGATGGCATCATCTGACAAAACTCATCTCAACGTGGCCTGTTAGCTGATTTGCCTGGCTCTGGTCGAAGTCACAAGATGAGCTTTGCATCACCTGTTTTTAGTAGGGTATCTGCTTAAACACGTCAGAGACGCCTTGGCATCATGTTTTCTATGGCTGAATTACCAGAAGGACTGGTCAAAGAACATGAAATTATTTAGGAAGTTGTGGTGTAATAGGAAATATATTTAGCCCTTGTCCCCTAGCTCTTGTCGCAGAGCTGCTAAGCCCTTTGAATATCCTGAGTCAAAGGGGTATCTCTGACAACCCCTAACACTTTGATCACACTTGAGTTTATACTAATGAAGTGTTTTTGGGTGAGGCCCTTGGATAGCCTCAGAATGGGACCAGACACCAGAAAGAGCAAGTACTTACAGGGTTGGAACTTGTACTTCCATTCACCAACTCTGTGAAGTGTGCATTTTGTTTTTTGGGGGCTGGAGATTGAGCTGTGTAAAAAATCCTGGATAGTCAGATTCCATGGACTTCCAGATTGGTAAACTGCACCCATGTATGGGAAGGTGGTGCACCCCAAGTCCATGGGACAGTGGGGTTTTTTTTGGACCTTGCCCTATATCTCATCTGCTGTTCGTGTGTATCCTTTAATACCCTTTGCAACACACCAGCCAAGGTAAGCAAAGAATTTATCTGCCATTCTAGCAAATTATGGAACCTGAGGTGGGGTGTCTTGGTGTCCAGAGGAGCTATAGGAGTTCAGGGGTCCACAAGTGAACTGGCATCTGCAGTGGGGACAGTTTTGTGGGCCTGAGCCCTTAACTGTGGCATCTGATGCTAACCAAATCCGGGCAGGCAGAATTGGAATTGAATTCCATTGTAGGACACTTAGTTGGTGTCCAGGGGTGGAGAACAGCTTGATGTGCATTTCCTAACCCCCACCCTCTGCTGTCAGAAGTGATGCTCTGTGTGAATACAGAGAGAAGATACTATTTTTTGGTTTTGTGTTTTCTTTTTCCCCCTCAGTGGGATTTAGAAGAAGTGGAGGAAGAATTTAAGAAATTCAGTACATAGAGGTAACCTAGTACTGTCCCCTACTCAAGGCAGTGGGCTCTGGAGAGGCCTGTGAGAAAGAGACCTTGGGAAAGACACATAACATCTTTCCATTTCAGTTCTGCCAACCATTAGATGGGGGAAATAGTAACACCCCACCTCTTAGGGTTCTTACAAGGTTCACATGATATGAACATGACAGGTCTGGCAAAGTGTGTTTTTGGCGGACACAATATCTTTGTATGTGGTGCTGAGGATCGAACCCAGGCCGCATGCATGCCAGGCGAGTGTGCTACCGCTTGAGCCACATCCCCAGCCCATTTTTTTAAAATTTTTTAATTGATTTTTGTAGTACTGGGGATTTAACTCAGGGGCACTCTACCATGGGAGCCATGCACCCAGCCCTTTCCTTATTTTATTTATTTATTTAATTTTGAGACAGGGTCTTTCCAAGCCTTCAAGCTGCTCTATTGGAAATGGTAGAAGCCTAGAAGAATCCTGAAGCACTTGGGAAAAATCAAGTCCTGAAAATGATGAGGACTTTTTTAAAGGAAGGGATTGTGGAAAAATGCTTATATAATGCAGTCTTGGAAGGCTACAAACAAGAATAGTGTTAAAAGCAGGCACAGGGGCTGGGGTTGTGGCTCAGTGGTAGAGCACTTGCCTAGCACGTGGGAGGCACTAGGTTTGATCCTCAGCACCAGATAAAAATAAATAAATAAAATAAAGGTATTATGTCCATCCACAACTAAAAATATTAAAAAAACAAAAGGCAGGCACAGCGCAGTCCAAGCCACATGTTTGGACTAAGCCAACTCAGGTAATTTCTAGAATCCTACAGTACCTTCATTGGACAGATGTATACCCTTGTCCCCAAATTCACATGTTGAAGCCCTAACTCCAGTGTCACTGTATTTGCAGATAAGGATTTGTGGAGGTAGTTAAGGTCAAAATGGGATCACCAGAGTGACATCCTAATCCGATAGGGTTGGTAGGCTTATAAGAAAAGGAAAAGAGAGTGAGAGTGAGAGAGATCTGTTTCCATGAGTAACATTGAGGAAGGCCATATGAGGATGCTGTGATAAGATGGCCATCTGCACGCTGAGAGGAGAACCATCACCAGGAACTGAACTGGCCAGCACCTTGACCTTGGACTTCCCAGCTGACAGAGCTATGCGAGAACAAGTTTCTGTTGTTAAGCCACCCAGTCTCTGTCAGTCTACTCAGGCTGATGGTACCAAATGCCAGAGTGCCCAGACCAAAAAGAATCTTAGAATTTTATAAAGGTGCCTCTGAACTCAAGGCTGAAAGCATGAAATGGCAAGAGGACAAGAAAAAAAAATTGTTTTGTACTTATAGATGACCCTTTGTGTGCAGACCTGCAGCTTTAACATGTCTTTAAGGTAGAATAAAAGTACTTTAATTTCTGGAAAGACTGAGTATGTTCAGAGGCTTCAAATGTTCCCAGAATCTTGGTGGGGGTAGGACACTGCTAATTACTAGACAGAGAGGGTACAGAGAGGGAGAGGACTGCTGATGTTCCTTAAAGGTCTCACCACCTATTCATGCAACAAATATTTCCTGAACACCTATCACGTGCCAAATCACTCCCCCTGCCTAAAACTTTTCAGAGGTGTCCAATGCCCTGGGGGATATTTAATAACATATAATAATGAAGATGATGATAAAAACATCAAACTTACAGAGAGCTTCTTATATATAAGGTATTCATTTCTTGTGGAATCCATATTTTTAAATTTACCTACTTAATAAAATATATTTGTAACCCTAAATCAATACGGTGCTTGTAAGTCATTCATGGAGGTTTTCAGACTGTCAAAAAATGGCAGTCATCTGATATACATGTTTTTAGCTGAGCTCAAATAAGGTCTCCTGTCCCCTTGTTTCAACTTTTATGCTGTAAATTTTTTTTTTTTTTGGTGGTCTCTATGTCTAAGGGTCCGTGCCTTACAGAGGAAGGACAAGTGCTAGAGAAGCTTTGTTCAGGAATGAGTCATGGTGCTGTCCGCCCAGAATTCACCGCTCATGAATTAACAGCATATTTTTAAATAAGGTGTCTTGAAACAGAAACACATAACACGAGGTTCTGTGTGGATCATTAGATGAACATGTAGTGAGGAGAGGCTCACGGGAAGCTCAGCCCGTATTTCCTCTGTGAGCAATACTGTTCCTTATTCACTGACTCATCCTTTAAGGCAGCTTTACAGAACATGAGTGTAGTGGATTATGAGCACTGATGGTGGTAACCCAAAACTACTGAGAACCTTGTGAGTCTTTTCCATAGCATACGCAACCCTCTACCACAACATCTCTGTGGAGATCCTCATGTATGGAGACTCAGAGATAGAGATAGAGATAGATAGAGATAGAGATAGACAGAGAACAAACAGTGACCTGGCATTCTGGAGCCTGAGAAGTTTGGAGTACTAAGACCATTAGCCCTGACCTAGGCATTTAGTGTGTGTAGTTAATGACAATGTCCAGGATGCAGCCACAGCAGGAGACTGAAATGTAGCCCAGGGAGGATGGCTGGAGTGCAGAAAGTCAAGGAGGCTTGGAACTTACGGTACTGAATGATACGGAGCATCTAGAAAGTTCCCAAATGATGATAGACTAGGAAGACGACAGGAACCTCGAAGGAAGCTAAGGCTCTGCACAAGGAGGCAGCTTGAGGACATGGAATTGGCAAAGGGAACAAGGACAATGTGCACAGTATGTTTGAGAGACACAGGGTAAAGGAGGAAATAGGTTGGATCCACAGGAGTAAAATATACAGAACATAGTCCTGCAAGGTGGGCTAAAGAAGGAAATGGTGAGGGAGCTGGGGAGGAGACCCGCAGAGAAGATGGGGAGGGAGGTCTGTGAGCCTGTGTCCTGGTACCTGAACTTGACAATACACTAGAACCCACCGGAGGGCTGAGTATCAAGTTTCTGATCCAGTGGCCCTGGAGTCAGGACAGAGAAACTGCATTTCTTTTTTTTTTTTTTTTTTTTGTTTCTCACTATTTTTATACTTTTTTAAAAATTTTTATTGTTGGTTGTTCAAAACATTACATAGTTCTTGACATATCATATTTCACACTTTGATTCAAGTGGGTTATGAACTCCTATTTTTACCCCGTATACAGATTGCAGAATCACATTGGTTACACATCCACTGATTTACATATTGCCATACTAGTGTCTGTTGTATTCTGCTGCCTTTCCTATCCTCTACTATCCCCCCTCCCCTCCCCTCCCCTCCCCTAAGAAGTACCCAATTGAGGCTGTTACTGCTGGTCCTTGGGACACGCTGAGAGCCACTGTCCCGGGGCAAGGTCTTTATTGGAGAAATTCCACAATGCCTGAGGGGATCCACTGACTGGCCATCTTTTGTGTGAAGGCTTCCTTGGGTCATGGCTCATCACACATTTTAGAATCCTCTCCCCTAGCAACAAGAGTAAGGGGGAAAACAGGATTTTTCTCAAACTTGAAGGGGCCAGAAAGAAGCAGACTTTGCTCTGTCTACTGGATTTAATGTTTTAGGGAATAAAAACTGTAGTGAAAAAACCTGTATCACCAAGTGACAGAAAATTTAATAAAAAGTGGAAAGAATACACTTTCCCCCCAAGTGCATAGGAAAAAAAAGTAGAATAGCTTACCTGTTGGGGAGACTGTCCATTAGGTCCCTCTAGCAATTCAACTTCTCTCCCTGCAACAACAAAAATGTTGAAATTGAGGTTTGCACACTGCCTCCTTGTCACAGCCAGTTTGCATCAGGAAGGTGACAGGTAACAGAAACAGATCTGCCGAGGGGTGCTGCCCTGAGGGGGATGGATTCCTGGCCAGGCAGGCAAGGGGTTTGAAACTCCTCAGGCTTGAGTTAAACAACCCCCCTCCTGGTACTTCATAATCAATTAATTAACAACAAAAATTTCACTGAAATTTTATCACGTTGATAAAATAATATTGTAATGAGATAAAGTCATGACATGTAAACTGTTTACCATGTGCTGGGAACTGTTCAATAACCAAAAGCTATCTACCATGGTCTGTGTCTCCCCTGAAAGTTATCACATTGAGGCCTAATCCCCAAGGTGATAGTCAGAAGGTGGGGCCTTGGAGAGGCGATTGGGTCACAAGAGCAGAGTCCTTGTGAATGGGACTAATTAATGCCTTTACAAAAGAGACCCCTGGGAGATTTTGTGTCCCTTCATCCAAATGAGGTTATGGTGAAAAGATGGCCATCTGGTATGGGGGCACTTCTCGGACACCAAATCTCTTCACACCTTGATCCTGTAATTGTGGGAAATATATTTCTGTTGTTTATAAGTCACCGAGTCTAAGGCATTTTATTAAGCTGCCCGGACAGACCAAGATACTTTAGTGGTTATTAGGGTTGATAAATACCACATGATAGCACACCTCTTCCCTGATGGGTATAGTTTCAACTAGAAAAAAAAAAAAAGGGAAGAAATTTGCTCCTCAGAGATATATCAAGTGAAGTTTCAATGAGTAAATGCAATGTACAATATTTCAAAAAATATATATAATTTAAAAATTATCTTTGCTTATAAGGAAAACATTATATACAACTTAAGAAGGAACATAAAATGTTAAGATTTTTACCAACTTTTTTATGGTTATTAGAATAATTTGCTATCTATAGACACCAATTTTTCAAGAAATGCTCTTATTTCAATCCCATATATGAAATAACCATATAATGAACTTTGCCTCAAATCAACCACAAAATATTGGAGTAGTTGCATACATCCAGTGATTCAATTTATATATATTTTTTAAAAAGCTCTATTTAGTTTAGTTAAAAATATCTTTATTTATTTATTTTTTAATGTGGTGCTGAGGATTGAACCCAGTGCGTCACACAGGCAAGGCAAGCACTCTACCACTGAGCCACAATCCCAACCCTCAATTTATAATTTTGTTAGCCATTTTTCATCTAGTATTATTTTCATTGTTCAATAATTCCTTAGAATCTAAAATGTAGCTCAGATGGTCCATGATTCTATTATTCTTAATTTTTACCATAGTGCTCATAATTGGACTCCTATGACTTGATAGGGAAGACATGAGAAAGGTCAAGTTCAAGCTCTCGGGGAGCTAACTAGCTGGAGAGGTCAAGAGGAAAAGAAGAGCTTTTAAATAACTAAAATATTGTGCAGGGAGCACATATACCATGAATGGGAACATCAACCACACCCTGAGGAGGTTCAGCCCTGGAGGGCTGTGTAAGTGAGTAGCCTCTAGATACTGATAGCACCTGGCCAGGTAGACAGAGGTGAGAGGAAGAGTGGCAGGTGGGGAACGGATGACGGCTAGTGGGGTGGGAGGTGAGAAGGCTTGGGGTATTGTTAGAGTCTGTAAACAAGTCAAAATAACACCTGGCATTTTGCCAGGGGAATGTTAGAGTTCGTAAACAAGTCTGGATGGTGCCTGGCAAAATGCCAGAGGGAGTGGTTTGAGAAGTAACAAAAGCAAGCCATTAAGTGTGGAGATTCCTTATTGGTTGACTGATGTATCTAGTTTATGCTAATTAGATAAGCTGTGTGGAATGTATAAATACTGCTCCTGTCCTGCAATAAACGGCTCCTACTCCTGCTGTATCAACGTACACAAGTTATTCGTCACCCCCCCGGCTAGTTTGCTGCAGCCGGACTGCGGCAGATGGTGGCCCGTACGGGGAGCCCTGGGACACTCGGGGGTAAGTGACAAAAAAAAGCTGCCCGTCCATAGATAGGACGGGAGCAAATCTGCTCGTCCCTAGGCAGATAGGGCGAGAGGAAAAATGACCATTTCAAGAAAATGGAGAAGATTGATACAGTATGTTTGTGTCTTGTTTTGTCTCAGTGTATTGTATTGTCTTTGTGATGAAAATATGGAAGGGGTGAGAAGTAAATTACTAAGGGAAGAAGGCACCCCAGTGGAACCAAGAATAGTTAGGGCATGTGTTGATGGAAGCCCAGGAACTCTAGTCAGAAAGAAAAAGAAAGTTCAGAAGAAGAAGGATTATCAGGAAAAAAGTTGCAGCAAAAGGCTATTACTGAATACTTTTCGTTTGCAGCAAAAGGCTATTACTGAATACTTTTTGTTACCGGAGGGTGCGTGAATCGGTGCAGCAGCTGCCATGTGCGAGCTGGTCATGGCGCAGCAAGGGCTTTCCAAGCGGCAGCAACCGGCTCTTCCCCGCCCCCTGCCCGGGGAGCGGGATGCCACTGCAAGAGCCCAAATCCAAGCCTGACCCGGAGGCACAGTATCGCAGGCTCTTGCTCCCTGTTCCCAGTAGCAGTTTGAGTCTGGGACACTCCCCAGGGCCATCTGGGGCTGCCCAGGCACTACAGCCAGCAGAAGACGCTACTGGTGTCCCTGATGTTTGGTCATTTTCAATGCCAATAACTAAACTACAATGGTTCTCCCACACCTGGAAGCTAATGAGTAATGAGCACTATTAATGCTTATTTCAAATGCAAAAAAACCTTGATATAATGTACTAAATTGTTCAGAAGGTTGTTTTCTTAGTAGAATGCTACAGGATTTTCTTTAGCCATCCGGAGTTCCTGCCTTCATCCCAGTGCCAATAAAGACCAAGGTGAAAGAATTTCCAATGTTGCTGAAAACCGGACGAGTCTTCGGCTGAGAAACGGACGAGACTTCGGATCAAGTTAGTTGCCTGCAGAACTTACTTGGACTGTGATTTAAGCTAGCTGCCTGCAGAACTTACCTGGACTGTGATTTACCTGGTCTGTGAGTTAATCTATTGAGACACTGCTTTACCTGGACTGAGACAACAAACTATAATCTACAACAAATTGTAACTCGGTATCTTTGCTAACAGTGTCATTGCTGGTATAATTTTTCCAAGGGCTTCTTGCATGGAGCCATCAATTGGCTTGGTATTGTGGCATTTTGTATCCTCCCTTTCTGTTTGTAGCAGGTTATTTATGGTGTTTCTGTAAAAACCACTATGGTCGTTATTTAAATTAAACAAAAGGGGGAAATGTTAGAGTCTGTAAACAAGTCAAAATAACACCTGGCATTTTGCCAGGGGAATGTTAGAGTTCGTAAACAAGTCTGGATGGTGCCTGGCAAAATGCCAGAGGGAGTGGTTTGAGAAGTAACAAAAGCAAGCCATTAAGTGTGGAGATTCCTTATTGGTTGACTGATGTATCTAGTTTATGCTAATTAGATAAGCTGTGTGGAATGTATAAATACTGCTCCTGTCCTGCAATAAACGGCTCCTACTCCTGCTGTATCAACGTACACAAGTTATTCGTCACCCCCCCGGCTAGTTTGCTGCAGCCGGACTGCGGCAGGGTATCACTTATTTAGCCAACAAACAACTCTGAATGCCGCTTTGTGACAAGCCCTGTGCTAGGGACCAGGATGCCGCAGTGAGGCACAGTCAGCAGGCTCTACAGATGACAGCCTCATGCGCAGGGGAGAGAATGCTCTGGATTCCTGCAGTTTAAAGATCAAGACAGTGAGGAGACTTGGGAGGGACGAGTATTTACTTGGAGAACTACATCTCACTTCAAAGAGTAAGATGAGAAAAGAGCACAGTCACATCTCCATGCTTTTTAGAGGGGTAAAAGGCTCTGAGCAAAAGAAATAGAAAGAGCACCGGAAAGGTTTACTGGTCCAAAGGGATCAAATGCGATGCAGAGGTCAGAGGCAACTCTTAAAACTGGATCCTTCTCTTCACATCAATTATGTTACATTCCTCCTAGAAAAAATCCAAAAGGCGCCCCTCTAGTCAGGCCCTCTGTCTCCTCCAATCAGCCCCTCATTTTCCCTGCGAGGGATGCACTGTTTCTGAAGGGAACCCCGCAGTCAGCAACAGCAAGCCTGTATTTTAACTGATGAGAAAATCAGGTCTGAATGGTAGCAACTTATCCAAGGTCACCCAGGTTGCTAGTGATGAGCAGCCAGGACCTGCTCACCAGGTTTCCTGGCCTCCCATCTCACAGCTCCTCTATGAACTGATACTCTCACATAAGCCTTGGCTTAGCTTTGAACAAGGTACTGAACCGTCTGTCAGAAGCTTCTCTTAGACGTCTGCACATTTTGTGAGAAGTTACTGGGCCGAGCAGGGTGCCAAGGGCTGCGAGTGGAAAGGGTGAACAGAACATTCCCTGGTCCCACTATGGAATGTGGTTGGTAGACAGAAATCACAACCAGTGATAAGTGCTTTGTAGGAAACCAAGTGCACGTGGCAATTTGGAGTTACAGGGAAGAATCCACTTTTTGAGGAAAGGGCCCTTGGATAGAGTAGTGTTGGAACAGATCCAAACACAACATGAAGCCGGTCAAGCCAAGACTAGCTCTCAACCAGCCACTGCATGGTTAGCAAATCTTTGCCTACTGAGTCTCTAAGATCCTCAGCTAAGTATTCAAGGTCATTCACAGCATGACATCAATGGCCTTCCTATGGTATCTCTGAAACTAGCCCATTTGAATTTTTTTATTGTTCTCTAAATATGCCAAAATGCTCCTGTTTCTGTCTTTGCACCCATTATTTTCGCCAGTTGTCATGCCACCATACCCATCAATACTTTGCAAAATTCTACTCATCCTTCAGAACTCATTTCACACAACATCCAACTGCTCTGTGTCAGAAAAAGACATGAACCCATAGGGAAAGCCACCAAGGAGATGAAAACAGAGAGCCCATGGATGTGTAGTGACTCACTG